AATAATAGAAAACGTAATAATAATAAACAAAAGAAAAATTTCCATCAAGCCCCATCTACGTCACGAAACTCGTGACAGTATTAAGATAATTTTGGTCTATGGTCAACGTAATGCGGGCCTGAACTATGATATAATTTTGTGCCTAATTCTTATTATGTTTTAATTGAAATATTGAATTTTGCCCAGCAAAAAAATACACATTTGCCCATCTCTATTTATGATCTTGTTTTGTAAACTTGTTTTGCTGGTTTTATTCGTAAAATTATTAAATGTTCTTTATACTCACGAGCTGAATGAAATGATTAATACAAATAATGATTTGTATGCAATGGTAAATAAGTATTTATGTTCTTGTTTTTTGCTATTTTTATTTCGTAAAATTATTAAATGTTCATTATACTCACAGACTAAATTAATGCGAATGAAATGATTTGTACGTAATGGTAAATCAGTATTTATGTTCTTGTTTTGTAAACTTGTTTTGCTGTTTTTATTTCGAAAAATTATTAAATGTTTTTTATACTCACGAGCTGAATGAAATGAATAATGCGAATGAAATGATTTATACGTTATGGTAAATAAGTATTTATGTTCTTATTTTATGAGCTTATTTTTCTGTTTTTATGTAGCAAAATTATTAAATGTTCTTTATACTCACATGCTGAATAAAATGATTAATACAAATGAAATGATTTGAACGTATTGGTAAATAAGTATTTATGCTCTTGTTTCGTGAGCTTGTTTGGCGTTCTTATGTAGTAAAATTATTAAATGTTCTTTATACTTACGTACTAAAGTAATAAACAATAAATATTTTGAACTTAAATTGCTGTTATAGATTAATTAATGCACTTTATACTTACTCCCTAACAATTAAAAATTGTACAAGAGATTTCAAATTTTCAAATAAAGAAATTATGAAATATTATAACAAAAAAATTAAACTTAACTTACTTCTTGATCCATTCCGAAAATTTATTCACATCCTTCCTCACACCAATTCCATACCAGTAACAAATGGCAGTTTTCCAAACTCCCATAGAATTACCAGCCTTAGCAGACTTCAAATAATATGTAAACGCTTTATGTTTGTCAACTTCAATTCCAATTCCTAAATAATAACAATAACCGACTTGATACATTCCGTTAGCATTATCCATGTCGGCTGATTTTTGATAATAAATGAATGCCTGATTCTCATCCTTTTCAATGCCTATCCCATATTGATAACAATAACTAAGACAATTAATTCCTTCAGTATACCCCGTATTAGCAGATTCCTTGAATTGAGTGAACGCTTTATATTCATCCTTTTCAACGTTAATTCCGTGAAGATAAAAATATCCTAATTTATATGTCTCATCAACACATGGGCTTTGTAGTTACAAACTAGTAATTTAAAAGTCATAACTGATCAGAAAAAAAATATTTAAATCAAATATATATTAAGAATGTATACAATAAAATTTACACTTACGATCTAATTATTAATAAATATATAGTTGATTAGAAGATAATATTTTATAAAATATTATTTTTAGTAAATTTAAAAAAAGCGTATGCACACTTACCAAATTAAACCAATAATTTATCAAGTCTATTTAGTTAATATTGCATAAACATAATTCAAAAACAATAATATTATGCTCACTCCCTATTAATTCAAAGTGTATATAAATAATTAGAAATATGAATGCACTTGAAATCATAGTAACTCTATATTTATTTTTTAATAATTTCTATAGAAATTTTTGATGCCCATTCATCATTTGAATTAATTTTCAGCAATTTATTAACATCTTTGAAAGATTCTTTATATTTTCCTATTAGATAATAGGCTTCTCCTCGATATCTCAGTGCAAATTTGCTGTTTGGTTCAATATGAAGCAATTTTGTTAGATCAATAATTGCTTCTTCATATTTTCGAATGATAAAATTAAGTTTTGCTCGAAATTTAAGAGTATTATCTTGCTTGATTTTTAGCAAATTTTCTAAATCTTCAATAGTATATATTTTCGTCAGATTATTGCACATGTTAACTAGACGGATCCATTTTTTTTTTACTAATTCATTACTAGGTTCAATATCAAGCAATTTTGTTAGATCAATAATTGCATCTTCATGTCTTCTCATTCGGTAATAGGATTCTCCTCGATATCTTAGTGCAAATTTGCTGTTTGGCTCAATATCAAGCAATTTTGTTAGATCAATAATTGCTTCTTCATATCTTTCTATTAGGTAATATGATCCTCCTCGATATCTTAGTGCAAATTTGCTGTTTGCTTCAGTATCAAGCAATTTTGTTAGATCAATAATTGCATCTTCATAGCTTCCAATAATAAAATTAAAATTTCCTCGTAATTTAAAAGCAGTATATTGATTGATTTTTAGTGACTTTTCTAAATCTTCAAGCGTATATATATTCGTTGTATTAATGCACATATTAAATAATTCAACCCATTTTGTTTTCAATAAATCACCGTCTATATCATCACTAGTAGTCTCTATTTACAAAGAATTATGCTATTAAATTATAAATCAAGGAAAACATATATTTATAACTACGTATTGAGCATTACCTGCATATTTAAATTTTCTACTACCAAAATTTACTTCTATAGATCCACCTTGTGAACTTAATCCAACACAAGGATACAAGATGCCTTTTAATTTTCGGAAAGCAATACCTTAAAGTTTATGTTATAAGATATTAAACTACTATAATATGCATGTTTTAAAGCAACAAAATTATTAAGTTTTTGTAATAACTACCTAGATTTGTACCATTTTTAGTAAATAATACAATGTTATTTTTAAAATTTAAACAACATCCAATGGTATCGCCAGTAGAAAACAACGGTCCATAAAGATAGTCTTGTCCCGAGCAGTTATAAATATTGCCATCTCCGTGATAACCAAAAGAACCATAATACCATCCTGTGAAAAGAATTAAGTAATTATACATTTAATATGCAAAAAAAAAAAGTAATAGTAGGTTTTAATTACCAGGCATTCCATTTAAACTAACTGTCTTTTCGCAAAATCCAACACCAATCCCTCTTTTAAATAGAATGTGAAGAATATAAACAAAATTTAAACAAATATATTTTAATTTTAAAGAGAAATAGATTTAGCGTACTTATTTTTTCCTTCATCTATTATATCAACTTCAAAATAAAACAACTTGCATTGCGGGGGAATTGGATGATTTGCTCGTATTGCACCACTTTCGCCCAAACCTATGTATTTAAAACAAAAATAGTATTAATTCTGAAATGATAAGCCATTTGAAATGGCAACCAATATAAATAGTCTCACTAACGATTGGTGAATGCATGATTATGCAGATAACAATTTCATGCGCATGTAATTTGAAAAAAATCACAATTAGCATATCAATAAGTCCCACCTTCATAATTCACTTTAAGTCCACTCGAATCTATGCTCAAAAAAGTAGATTTATCATAGAGATTCAATACAGATGGTAAGTCCATAATTGCGTTAAATGTAGGGTGAACTAATGATTAATTTTTAATCTCTTATGTACAGGAATTTTTATTACGAAATTTTGTTTTGACTACTAATTAAATTTGCGAGTAAGTTTCTGGCTTTAACAAGGAGATAAAGGATTTAAAGATTAGCTATTAAACATTTTTTATAATTCATTTTAGAAAGATTAATTAAACGCTTAATTATAGTATTTATAACCTTAGAAATTTATCAGCAACACGTTTTTAGGTGCAATACCTTTAAGTTAGGCTAATTTGAATTTATATGAGTATAAACCTTTATACAGCGCTTATTATTAATATATTCGCTTTTTTATTAAATTTCTACTATCCTAAGGTTTTTATATTTACGTAAAAAGACTTCTAAATAAAATGCGCCGTACCGTACAAACTATCGCTAATTCTTTTATAGATCTTTGCAACACATTAAAAAAGTAAATATTTCTTAAATTATCAACTTCAATAAGTGTGTGTACCGGTGTGCATGCCGTATTCTATTGTGGTTAAAAAAACTCTATTGAGGGATGTTCACTTAGTCATACTTATTCATAAGGTAATATTTCCTAATTTATAAATTCATTGTAAATTCACAAGATCAAGATTCACATTGTACAGCAGTAAGCAATGGTAAAGGCTACTTCTATGTTAATTTTGATCTTTGAATGATTAATATATATATTGTATCAATATAAAATTCTTATCAACAAAAACTCTTTAAAATAATTATCTTTGAATAAAAATGACCAATTTGAAGATTTGTGGCCAATGTATCAAGTACAAATAAATAAATTAAATCAATAAAGTTTAATTAATTACAAAAAAAAAAACAGTATTTACAGTTTGCTCTTCGAGTATCGTTAAGTGTCTTTAAAATTTTTTTATTTAAATATAAATATTCATATGATTGCACATAAATCTTTTAAACAAATATTAAAAGGATATATTAAATGAGAAAATTTATCAAGCCGTTACTCTAAAAGTCAAAACCCAGCAATTTATCTGAGAATTTCAAAAACTAATGAAATCAGTCTTTTGACTTAATCATGTGTAACGGACAAAATAATTTCCCTACAAAGTTTTCACTTTCGTATAAACGGACGTTAAAAAGCTACATAGTCTAGTCCAAATACGGAATACCGTACCGTTACAAAATTAAGCACCCCAAAATTATCGCGGTTTGCAAAATGATGTACATTTTGATCGAATTTGTAGATCGCTGCACATGCGATTGTTCGATTGCATTCGATTGTACATGATTGTTTGTAATTGTGTATGATTGTATGTGATTGTAGGCAATTGTATGATTTATTTATAAATATATAGAAAAAACTAATATAAAAAAAATAGATTTTCTTCTTCATTTTGATAAAATTATTATGGACGGTGTTGAATACCTCATAGGTACTTGCTATCAATGCGCAAAGTGCTTTTATTGCAAACAAGATTCTTCAAATATTTCATGCAAATGTGATAAAAACATAATACCTACAACACGAAATCGCACCAAATTGGTTCCATACGCTTTTAAAATTCATTATAAGACAACATTTAATGATCAACAAATTAAAGTTTTGAAGAAACAAAAGAGAAATATAATTATGATGTAGAATTTTCTGAAGATTTTAAATTTTTATTTTGCTCATCATGCAATAGCAAATGGTATCGCATTGCCAAAGCCAAATCTACAAAGTCAAATTCGACTAAATCTACTAGTTCTGCTAAACATGCTAATATCAACCTATTTGAGACCAACAAACTTGTTGAAGATCATGCAACTTCTGATACAAATGAGTATATTACCAATCTATCTGAGACCAACAAACTTACTAATAATTATACAACTTTCGATACTAATAAGGATGCTACCAACCTATTTGAGACTAATGGGCTTATTTATGATCATACTGCTTTGGATACTGATATTTCTGAATTAGAAGATGTTGAAATGGATTTGGAAAATGATTTTTATGATTCTAATAGACAGTGGGATGAGCTAAATAACAAAAATAATAAATATGAAAGCCAAGAATTTTTTATTAAGTTATGTATTAAAGATCAAGATAATATTACATTACCTGCAAAACAACTAAATATCTTAGCAGATTCTTGTGGTGAATTTCATTATCAAATTCTTTCTCATATTCAACTTCAACTAAATAATACTACTATTACCCAAAATGATTATGTATTGGCATATAAAATTACTAAAGAAACTGGGGCAGAGACTCAAATTATTAATGAAAATGATTTTAGAAGTTTTATTGAAGATTATAATCAAGCTACAAGTAAAAAAAAAGAAATATTTATTAATATTCAATTTCAAAGCAATTTAATAGCTCAAAAAAATAATTACATAGATCAGTATATTAATTTTTATAATTTATTAATTTAATTTATTAATGGTTAGAATTTCAGCGTACTACTAGTAGTACATTGTACTACATTGTGACAGTTTTTAAAAGCAAATTTCTAGAAATTTAGAATATAAACTATCTTTTTAAATAATATAATTCTATTCTATTTAGCATTCATAACATGTACAAATTATTAAAATAGCTTTAACTACTATTTTTGATTTTATATAATTTTTTTTGTTTAGAAAATTTAATAAAATTAAATTTTTATATAGTATTTACTAGTTACCTTATAAGCTTTAAACACTATTTAAAAATTATTTTATTATATAATTTTTTTAAATTTTTAATAAAAATTATAAAAATAAGTATTCTAATTATAATAAAAAAAAATTATTAAAATTGGTATAATATATAACAAATAATTTCAATTTAAAATTTTTACTAACTTTTACTAGTAAATATTTGTTTAGATTTTATATATAAAAATTAGATAAAATTTTTTAAATTTTAAAGTTATATAAGTTTTGATAAATTTGTTTATCTTTATAAATTTTAATAAATTGAAATTAAATGATAAATCTCTATAACTTTTATTAATAATTTTAAAAATTATTAAGTTAAAATTTTTATTATATAACTAATTATAATTTTTTAAATATAACTTATTTTAACTCTTTTTTATATGACAAACTATTATTTTATAAAATTTTTTAATTACTTCAAGACTATAGCTGCTTTAAATAGTGTACTACTAGTAGTACACCAAAATTCACCAAAAGTAACAGTTTAAAAAAATTTTTTTTCTCAACAACTTTATTAATAATATAAAAAAAAATACAACTAATCTATTCTGGTATATTTATCAGATTTTTGTATATAAAAATTATTTAAATTTATAATTTTTTGGATTTTTAATATATTTTTCTAACTGTACTACTAGTAGTACAAAAAGTGAAATGCTAACTATTAATTTATAAATTTATTAATTTTAAATTATTTTATTATTTTAGAAATCTGAAGAACCTAATAGTAATGATGATTTGAATAAAAAAAAGCCATAATTATTTAGTAAAACCTAAAGAGTTTCTCTTAGCTTAATGATGATAAACGTTGTTATATGAAAATTGCCTCCTGATATCCTTATGATCATTTACATACTACCATGGAATATTCAGAGATACTGTGAACTTACTCCTGTCATTTTTACAAAAATGCTGCATGTGCCAACAACTTAAAGAAGAACTTGATTGGCATGGTGTATAATTGCCGCAGCAACGAACTTCTTGAACTCCCAAACTGTCAATCACTAATGATCGAAAGACAATTACCCTACTAATATTCGTACTGACCCCGTATTCATATTATAATACACAGTGCTCCATTTTTCCAAATTGTTAAACCATACATATCACTTTTAGTTACTATATCAGTCCCAATATTGGTAATGTGTAGTATAGAGACAACACATACCGTGACATCAATGGTAGTTCCTAAAAGGGTTTATTCACTGCTGCGTTGATAATCCCAACACCAAATTGGCCTCATTGCTGCCGCTATTTCATCGAAAAGCTCTATGCTGCCCATGTCATTCATGTGGATGAGCAAGAAATAAACAAGCTTAAGGGCTTTATACGAAATTATTATCAAGATCATGATAAATCAAGCCAGGTAGAGGCTCATTAAAAATAAAGACCCGAAATCTATGCGTGAAATAGTGAAGAGATTGGTGTTGATAAAAATGGTAGATGAGTTGTAAATAGATCGATAGATAAAGTAGATTTAGCAGTTGCCCACTGTAATTAAATATATAGTCGCATTTGTTATATAAAGGACACGAATTAGCCTAGTTAGTTCTGCAGTTTTCAACATCCCTTTAATAACTATATATCTTCATATATATAGCTCCCTTAATAGCCTAGTTTCGAATTCTCCATTGTATTCTTATAACTGTCTCCATACAGTTATCTTTGTTTTATTAATAAACTGTATACTTCGTGTCTTTATACATGAACAAATAAACCTGTTGTATATCATATATAACTTGTAATTGTTGAGTATTATTTATGTCGTCACGTGTGACTCGTGACCTTTTCTAAGAAAACAACCCAATATATTTTCATATACGTTTGTGTTGACTGCCTCTTTCGATAAAGCCTTACAAACCTCTTACTAAGTTGTTTTATGACATTCTCTTGCCTTGCCAAATCATAGTTTATTAGTCTAAGATAGACTAACTCTATAGTTCCGGAAGTTGTTCTAAGAGGTCAACTTCACGTGTAATATTTTGGTGGTGACTGTGAGATACAGTCTCTATTGTTGAGTATTAACTAGAACCTATTGTATAGTCTCTTACGCAGAATTTGCTCAAAGGAATAACCAACATGACCATTAGCATACATTATATCCCAGTACTGGAGAACAAGTTTGTTAGCAACTTTACTAGACCTGCCCGGATTTTTCCTGCATACTTTGTTATCTCATAGCAACCAACACCCCCATCCAATTCATTAGGTTTTGGACTTGGTTTGCCATAAATTATCCTGTATGTACATATACAGATTGTACGCTCCATCTTTATCAAAGACTTGAACAAGCCGAAGACCAATTACAAGAGTATTTTTGTTCCCTAACTTATACGTGCTGATATAATGAAGATCCAAACTTCAAAACTTTATTTGCTTAACTATATCAAGTGTACCAAAGAACCAACAGGTTTAATTTAGACCCTTTTCTAGTATTATATCATCAAGTGATAAAGGCTCCAGAATCTACCACATCTGAATTCGAAGACAATTTAAATCATAAAATATTATTTCAAACCCATCTACTTTACCAAGAATTCAACTCATAGCCAACGCTCAAACTGTTCTAGATTATCTCTAGGCCAATCAACGAGAAAGTGTTTTGTTGAAGATAGAACTGTTCCTAGGAGATGGTATCCAAGATCCACAGGCGTGAATTGAGAGTTTTAAGAAAGCCACCACGGCTAATAAATAAAGTACCTGTCAAAAATGGGAAATATTACTCACATTTTTACTAAGTAATGCAGATGATTGGTAGCAGACCTATTTTGTTGCTAATCCACCTGCAGCTAACCCAGCTAACCCTGATAGTGATTGGACAGCTACCTCAGATGCTTTCAAAGCTAGATTTTGTATCCAGTGATGGACTAACAAGTGGGTTGCCGAGTTGGATAACCTGAAACAATTGCCGAGTGAATCCATTGAGACCTATTATAGCAAGTTTAGGCGTCTAATTAAGAGGCTAGAGCCTGGTATGATCTTGCAGAACCCCCAAAAATTATTTTATTTTAAGAAAGGTTTGTGTACGGACCTTCTACCTGTTATTCTTATGCATAATCAAGCTGACCTGGACAAAATATTAGACCTGGCATGTATCTACGAGCAAGGTACAAACTTTGCTATGAACGCCAGCCCTATTGTTACTAGTATTACAAGGAACTATGATAGGGAATAGAGCAACTAACCCAACAAATGCAGCAAATAAACCTCAACTATGCTACTATAGCTTCAGCCCTAGTAGCACAAGCAGATAATAAGACCCTCAAATCAACAATGCCCCGACATGAGTCATCAAGAGCTGCCCATATCACCTGTCATAGGTGTAGAGAACCTGGACATTACACTTATAAATGTTTATTGGAGCAAGTCCCTAATAGAGAGTGGTGTTACTAACCCTCAAAAAGACCTAATGCCAATAATAGTTGGAATAAAAACATAAACTTTGTTGGAACTAAATACAATGAAGAAATCAAAGAAGAGGTCTATGTTAATAGGCCACAACTGTATTCCACAGATAGAAGAGGGCAAAAGGAAAAATTGAAGTAGTCTAAGTTACGAAAGGAGCATGCTCTAAGGAGTAAAACCCCTAAGGAGCAACCTCCAGTAGTTAAGGAGGAAGAAGATCCAGAAGACCCAATGGACTTTGAAGACCAGGTACAACCAATAACTCCAGTAAAGCGGGTAGTTAAGTGTCGATTAACATTGGCAGTTGATAAAATCCACCCGTATAATATCTCTAAGGACCTATTACAAGCTCCAGCCTGGTCATGTATAGCCAGATATTGCAGTATGCCAACCAAAGATGAAATTTGGCTAAGGCTTTAAGAAAAAGAAAAGATTTTAGCACTGAAGCCAACTATTTAGAAGCTATTAGCCCTCACAAAACAATAGCCTTGCATTGCTACATATAGATTAAAGGAGCTCCAGTAGTAGCCATCTTGGACTCCGAGGCTGCTGTGAGTATTATCACTCACAATTTGATGAAGAAACTCCATCTAGCTATTAACAAGCCGTCTAAAACAGTAGTTGTAACTGTGAATGGCAACCATACCAAAGCCTTAAGGATAGTTAGCTGTGTTCAAATTTGCCTCCAAGATTTAATAATTCCTATAGACTTACAAGTCATAGAATCTCAGAAAGAAACATTGCTACTAGTGACCGATTGGTTCAGCAAGTTCCATGCCAAATTAGACTTTGGCAGTAATACTTTGCATGTAAGGTATCTAGATAAACAAGCTACCATCAATGCTACTCATGTTAGCAACGGAAACCCACCCCAAGACTATGAAGATTTCACTGACGAAGAAAATTAGATTGATGAGATAGAAGATGATGATGATGAATATCAAGAAGCCTTCTATACTGATAGCAGTTCCTCAGATGAGGATAGATTTTTCTACAACCCCTGGAGCGATAAGAACCCAGCTGTATATCTGGCTAAGTCGTCAGAAAGCACCAGGACAACCAGTATATTCTTTTTGATATAAATAATGATTTGACTCTGGAACAACAAGAGCAAGCCATAGACCTTTTGCATGATAACATGTATAATTTTGCTGAGAAAATCAGCAAGAGTGGCCAGACAGTAGGGCTGAGCCAGACTAGCCTTGTGTGTTACAAAATAGATACAGGAAATGCCCGCCCAATTAAACAACATCCATATAGTATGTCCCTGGATAACCAGAACTTTTTGAAGGATGAAATACTTGCCATGCAAGACCAAGGAATAGTAAGCCCTATTAAAAGCCCCTAGGCTAGCCTGGTAGTATTAGTCCCCAAAAAAATGGGTCTAAATGGATTTGTGTTGACTACCACAAGCTTAATGTGGTAACAGAGAAAGACGTATACCCACTTTCTAATGTTAATGAAGTGTTAACTATGTTCGAGGGAGCCCAATGGTTCACTAGCTTGGACTTTGCTAGTGAGTACTGGCAAATTGCCATGAAACCAGAAGATATCAAGAAAACAGCATTCATCACAAAATTCAGCACTTATACTTTCAATATGATGCTATTTGGACTCTGTGATGCGCCTTCAACCTTCTAACGGCTAATGAACTACATTTTTGAGCCCTTCATTAACCACTTCTTGGTGGTTTACTTGGATGATGTAATTATATATTCCAAAACCTTTGACAGGTTCTTGCTAGAATAAAAAAAGCAAAATTACAATTAAATTCAAAGAAGTGCTACTTCTTATATAACAAAATCCATTACCTAGGTCATATTATAAGTAACAGAGGAATCCTCCCAGACAGGGATAAAATCAAGCAAATTAGAGATTTTCCCACTCTAGTAACTCAAAAACAAGTCAGGTCTTTCGTATAGTTGGCCTCCTATTATCAGAAATTTATTGAAGGATTTTCAAGTATAGCCAAGCCCCTAAATTTTCTTCTAAAGAAAGATGAGCCTTATTGTTAGACTAAAACCCAAAATGAGGCCTTCAATGTCCTTAAGTACCGATTAACTACTGCCCCGGTACTACAGTACCCAAATTACAATAGGCTATACAGATGCCTCAACCTCAGGGTTGGGGGCTGTACTAGCTCAACTGGATAATTACAACAGAGAGTATATGGTCGCATATGCTAGTAGAAGTTTGAACAAAAATGAGCAAAATTACTCCATTCTGTAATTAGAGTGTCTAGCAGTCATTTGGACCGTAGAACACTTTTACCAGTATCTAGGATCAAAATACATCTATCTTATTATAGATCACTCTGCTTTACAGTGGTTAAGAACTTCAGAATTGAAAGAAAAACATGCCCAGTGGATTATGAAGCTACAACCTTATAATTTTACTATTATCTACTGTCCAGGCCGAACATATACTAACACAGATGCCCTTTCTCGGGTTCTTAGTGAAAATGAAGAAATAGTGTATATAATGAACCGGCATGAAAAAATGGAACTGGACAAAGAAATTTTACAAGTCATTAGGACTTTAAGTCCTAACTCACTACCAGCCATGTTGTATGGGATATACCCTACTAGCAAATTGAATTCACCCCTAATGGAATTAGGTTCAAGAGACAAATATGTACCTGGTATTATATTGAGCACATTAGTGCTTAATTAAGCCAGAAAAATAATTGTAAGTACTGGCCACAGGACTGAAGAGGTCTATGGCCCAGTGCTAGTGTGAAGATAGGCTTTATTCTTCTTCAGATGATTGTATCAAGTGTAAATATGATCTACAACTATGGACACTATTAAAAGTTGTCCACTTGATAAAATCATCAAGTGTTATTGGTCCATACCAGACTATAAGGAAGAAACCGCCCATATATGAGATATACTATTAGAAACAAAACTGTAATACCAATCCAAACCCTATACGTAGAATTGAGTGATAGTTGAGCTTTGGAAAATCATCTGGCTAGGCTTTTACCCGTACTAAATCATCTGCCCCAAGCCCATAACCGGTTACAATGACATTCATATAAAGAACCTTTGCAAGTCCAACCATAGTGGATGCATCCATTAGATACCCCATCCAACCGCCAGCTAAATGAACATAATAACCTAAAGGACACGTATCTGTGTAATTCAGTTTGATGGAAGGTACCAAACCCAATAGTGTGCCTTTAGTTTTGTTTTATAAAACCTTTCTGTTCCCAAATAATGCAAAACTTTGCAAGTCAGTTACTGCAACTGTACAGCGATTACCTAAGAACTACATCTAAACCAAGCTAACTAATCTGCTTTTCCTACCAGATACCTTCTAAATTAACTATCTAGTATTTATTATTATTATTATTATTATTATTATTATTATTATTTTCTCTTTTTCCTTTTAATTATTATGGACCCTAATAAATATACTCAAGTCAAGACCTTTTTTAAAATGGCCAACTATTCTTGGAACTTTATGGCAAGACAAAAATGAAGGCTAGAAGCCCAAAGTAAATTCTATATAATTTATAACTATCTACTCTACAAAAGGAATCGCCATAAGCAGACTAGGAATCAATTATTACAGGTGATATTATCGATAGAAGTTAATTCTATTCTCTATCTAATGCATGACCATCTCTTGGGAGTTCACCTAGGGGTTGAAAAGATGTTTGAAAAAATCAGAGACTGATATTACTGGCCTCAGATGTATGAACATGTCAGAAAATACGTCTAGACATGTGACACATGCTAAAAACAGTGCAAGAATCGAATCCGAGGTCCTCTACAACCAATTGAGGTTGAATCTCCCTTTCACAAGATAGAGATTGATTTTGTTGGGCCTTTAGACCTAACAACTAATAGGAATAAGTATATTATAGTCGCAGTTGACTTTATGACAAAATGGCCGAAAGCCAGGGCCACACCTGATGCAACAGCCTACAAAACTACTAACTTCGTATATCAAGAGATAATCAGCTGACATGGATACTTGTCCGAAATAGTCTCAAATAGAGGCCTCTATTTTAACAATGATATGATATGATATCTCACACAACAAATGGGAATTAAACATTTGTTGTCAACACTGTATCATCCCCAAACCAACGGCCTAGTGGATAGGTACAACCGTATCTTATATGAAGCCCTGGCTAAATTAGTAAACCAAGACCAAGAATGGGATACTTTAATTCCATTTGCTCTATTTGCCTACAGGACTGCCAAACAATTTACTACCCAGTTTACGCCTTTTATCTCATGTATAGACATGAAGCGAAGTACTCAGACATCACAGCAGAGCAAGAAATCCAAGAAAATCTTATTGATCGGTTAAATACAATTGTGATGTATCTACCTATTAGATGGTCCATCGCAATAGAAAATATGAACCACTTCCAAAGATGACAGAAGCTTAAATATGATAAGAAATTGAAGAAAGTAATCCATATCTTTAATAAAGGGAATAAAGTATTGTTATATGATACTGCAAAAGCTAACAACTATTCAGGAAAACTTCTACCTTAATGGTTGGGTCCTTTTATAATAGAACGAAGGGTTGCGCAAGACATTTATCAACTATAAACAATAAACAGACATCCCTTAGATACTCCTCACAATGCCTTGTTGTTGAAAAAGTATTATGAGAAACTATGAATACTAACAATAGAGTGCATGTATTATGATCAACCTATCGGATCATAATTGGTGTTTATTGATGATATTAATGAAATGATTATGGTTGGTAAATGTTACTGCCACCAACTGTTTAAGGAAGTCACAGAAAAGAAAGCAATAAGTAGTTTGAATTCAGAATCTTCGTAAACTCCAACAGCTCATTCGCAGAAGCTTATAATTAAAGGGTAAGTAAATGTTACATGAAAATTGCCTCCTGATATCTCTATGATTATTTACATACTACCATGAGATATTCAGGGATACCGTGAACTTACCCCTATCATTTTACAAAAATACTGAACGTGCCAACAACTTAAAAAAAAACTTGATTGGCATGGCAAATAATTGCCGCAGCAATGAACTTTTTGAACTCCCAAACTGTTAATCGCTAATGATCGAAGGACAATCACTCTACTAATATTTGTACTGATCCTGTATTTGTATTATTATACACAGTGCCTCATTTTTCCAAATTGTTAAACTATACACATCACTTTTAGTTACTATATCGGTCCCAATATTGGTAATGTGTAGCTTAGGGACAACACATGCCGTGACATCAATAGTAGTCCTTAAAAGGGTCTATTCACTGCTGCGTTAATGATCCCAACACCAAATTGGCCTCATTGCCGCCACTATTTCATCGAAAAGCTCTATGCCACCCATGTTATCCATGCAGATGAGCAAGAAATGAACAAGCTTAAGGGCTTTCTACTAAAATATTATTAAGATCGTGACAGATCAAGCTGGGTAGAGGCCTATTAAAGATAAAGACCTGAAATCTATGTGTAAAATAGTGAAGGAATTGGTGTTGATAAGAATGGTAGATGAGTCGTAAATAGATTGATAGATAGAGTAGATTTAGCAGTTGCTCACTGTAATTAAATATATAGTCGCGTTTGTTATATAAAGGACGCGAATTAGCCTAGTTAGTTCTGCAGTCTTCAACATCTCTTTAATAACTATATATCTTCATATATATAGCTCTCTTAATAGCCTAGTTTCAAATTCTCTATTGTATTCTTATAACTGTCTTGGTATAGTTATCTTTGTTTTATTAATAAACTGTATACTTTGTGTTTTCATACACGAACAAATAAACCTGTTGTATATCATGTGTGACTCATGATTGTTGTGTCATCACATGTTACTTGTAATCTTTTCTAAGAAAACAACCCAACGTATCTTCATATACGTTCGTGTTGACCGCCTCTTTTGATAAAGCCTTACAAACCTCTTACTAAGTTGTTTTACGACGTTTTCTTGCCTCACCAAATCATAGTTTATTAGTCTGAGATAGACTAACTCCATAGTTCCGGAAGTTGTTCTAAGAGATCAACTTCATGTGTAACAACATACTGTAGCGTCTACTATTACTCAAATTCGAGAAAAATATTTTTGTACTAGTTGTGCAAGTTCCTGTTGGGTTACTGAAACTGGTCATATTAAATTAACAGGTATACACTATACAACATGCGCTCGAGCAATTGTATATAAGATTATATTTATTTATTTATTTATTTTTTTAACAATACTGTCTTGCCTCTTTATTACTCATTATAGTGGAATGTACACGAATGTACATTATTTTTACAAGATTTTTAGAACATCATTGGTTACAAATTTCTAACTAGTACCTGTTATGCTGCTATCATTGAGTTTGTATCTCAAGCTACCTTTAAGGTATTGCTGAAACCCGATCTGTATATCAAGCCACAACCTTCCTAATTAGTCATCCCCTACTGCAGATGTCCCAGGTCCCTCCACCTGCAGTGTTTTAGTTCCCGAGCTTCTAGAACCACCTTGAGTGAAACGTACCAAACCTTACGGCCCAGTATAGTCATATTAACCCCATTTACCTCACTATTGGTTCTCACATCCCGTGAAGTTTGCTTACCCCGACTCCGGGTGCCTCTAAATCATTGGATGGCGGGATATTTCCATTTTGCTAGATATCACATGTCCTACACATGTGTTAGACTTCAGTAATCTATGACATGGCTCTACTCATGTACTTGGGGTTAGGGCTAACCATTAAACCCCTGTGGTTACCTACTTCCACTCTTATTAGGTTTCCAACAACTCTGGTACCCACATTTGGACCGTCTTCTTACCCGGATTCTTTATCAGTCTCTCCCTTACTTCTAGCCGGCAACCTGGAAGAGTTGGTCTGCTCAGGCTTTAGGTGCCTGAAGGATGCTCTCCTTTTGGTACATACTTTCGGAGCATATATTCTTTTCCTCCAGTGCGACAGAACTCAGTAGTTCGGCTAGTGTGTCCTCTGCCATTGGGGCCTGATCATTCGGTTCTCCGATCTCAGGCCCCAGTTTGAATTTAGCCCTCTTGTGATACTATCAAAGATCATTGTTACTCCTAACTCAGGACTTCCCAAATGGGTTTTCGGTTATACCGG